TGATGACACCCAGCTGTATCTGATGTTGGGCGGCCGGTCGGATTCCACTCCCGATGACCTTAGTCGGGCGTTACAGGCCGTGGCTGGGTGGCTCAGACTGAGTCGGCTGAAATTAAACCCGGCAAAGACGGAGGTCCTGGGGCTGGGTCGGACCGGTCCGGGGTTAGGGCTCCCGCTCCCGACCTTCGACGGGGCGCCATTGGTGCCGGTGGCGGAGGTTAGGAGTTTGGGGGTGCTCCTGGACTCCATGTTAACTATGGAAGCCCAGGTAGCAGCCACTGCCAAGTCGGCATTCTACCATCTTCGGCTGGTGCGGCAGTTGGTCCCCTTCCTCGGCCGGGATGACCTAGCCACAGTGATCCATGCGACGGTCACCTCGAGGCTAGACTACTGTAACGCTCTCTACATGGGGCTGCCTTTGTCGCAAATTCGGAAGCTGCAACTAGTGCAGAATGCTGCAGCCAGGCTGCTGATGGATCTTCCTAGACGGGATCACATCCAGCCTGTGCTGAAAGCGCTGCACTGGTTGCCAATAGCTTACCGGGTTCGCTTCAAAGTGCTGGTCGTTACCTTTAAAGCCCTATATGGCCAGGGACCAGCCTACCTAAGGGACCGCCTTGCCCCACATGTTCCCCCAAGGGCACTACGGTCAGGGACTCAACATCTACTGGCTGTTCCAGGTCCCCGTTCTATTAGACTCAGCATGACCAGGAACAGGGCGTTCTCGGTGGCGGCTCCTATCTGGTGGAATGAGCTCCCAGAGGAGATCAGGGCTCTGCGGGACCTAGCACAGTCCCGCAGGGCCTGCAAGACGGAGCTCTTCCGCCAGGCTTTTGAATAGGAGCCGCCACCACTAGTCCACCACTAGTCCACCAGCAGTCCATCATTAGTGCACTAGTGCACCACCATCGCACTAGCTACCATCTATCCCCCATATATGGACATCAAGATGGGGCATGCACATCTAGTTGCTGCATTATGGGCGAGAACGGGATGGTCAGGGACAGTCATCTTGCTTTTAGAAATTTTAGAATTTGTACAGATTGTATAATTTGCTAGGCATCAAAATCTGTTTTAAATAGGGCTGTAATTTAATATTTTGTATTGTTTTATGGTTTTATCTGGCAATATGCCCTGTAAGCCGCCCTGAGCCTCCGGGGAGGGCGGGATAAAAATGTGAATAATAAATAAATAAATAAATAAATAAATAGTCAGTGCAGCTTGCAAAATCACAGAATTCTTATTGGAATGAGGAAGCTGATAATCCCATTCATCAGAGTGTGCCACAGTTGTCACAGTATTCCTGGTGCTGTTCCATAAATGTCTGGATTGCTCTTCAGCTGTGTCTCTGCATTATCAGAGGTCCATCAGTGGCTATTAGCCACAAGGTATAGATAGGGGCTCTGGGGCAAGTGATGCTCTGTCTTCTTGGTGCTTGGGGGGGGGGTCAACAGTGGGAGGGCTTCTAATGTCCTGGCCCCACTGCTGGACCTCCTGATGGCACTGGTATTTCTGGCCACTGTGTGACACAGAGTGTTGGACTGGATGGGCCTTTGGCCTGATCCAACATTGGCGTCTCTTATGTTCTTATGCTTGACTGCACCCGCTGCCCATTCCTAAACTCAGGTGACTTCACCATGAATGCCCCGGAGAGGAGGCTGTGGAGGAGGGACCACCAGGTTGCCTACTGTGCCATATCAGTGCTGCTGTCTGGTAAGCCATGTAGTTTGCCTGGGGGTGGGGATGGTTGGAATGTAAGGGTTACTGTTGCAAAGGGGAGCTGATATGGCTGAGACAGGGCAAAGAGACATAGAGACAGGTCTTAACAGGGAAACAATAGGTTTCGGTATTCTGGGTGAAGCAAGACAGGCTACCTCAGGGAGAACAGAGGTTAGGCTTTAGGGTATTTGATTAGAGTAGGAGGCTGTCAGCTAGCTACACTTGTGTATTGGTAGTTATTCCTAACAAATTGTTGGATCCCCAGGCATTCGAAATAACTCCACGTTTGAATCAAAGCAAGGTTTATTTCAAAGCGATGGTTCAGACAGGAACAAGAACATTGTTAGGAATAACTACCAATACACTAGTGTAGCATATAAAAGGGATTTGAACCATGTTGGGCCAATGAGGTCAGTTCCCGCTGGCGGGAATAGAACTTGTAAACGCGCGCCTATTCCATGGGAATGTAACAGTCCAATACCATCAACACAGGTTCAGTTCACAGGGTAGATAACCATAACAAGCTTAGCGAAGCTCTGACTCCCCCCCACCAGCTGCACGACCTTGGCCAGTTCATGTCATATAATGAATCAACTTTACAAAATAACAATAAGAATCCATCATACTCTCAATAAAACTTTTGATTATTTGATTATTTAATTTTTTAGAACTTACCAGTCCTTCCTCCTTCCCACTCACCAACAACCTACCTTTTATCTGACCCCCAGCATCAGGTATATTTACTTAATTTACACCTGACCTTTCTCCACAATGGGGAACTAAAGCAGCTTACATCAGTCTCCTCTCTTCCATTTTCACAACCACCCTATGAGGTAGATGAGGCTGAGTGTATGTTACTGGCCCAAGGTCATCCAGGCAATAATGTGGTGGCTGCCTAGCAAAAGAAACCGAGGACATTTGTTTCTTAAAGCTAGAAGTGCTTCTTCTGTTATGGGGGGGGGGATTTAAGGAATTTTTCCAGCAGATTTCAGAATTTTCTGCAAAGGTGGAGATTTTCCAGGTTTGTAGAATGATGTCTTATCTGTTCATGGTTCCAGTCTCAGATTTTAACTATCCACAGTTTCAGCCACATTGAGAATTACTTATACTGATGGTAAATATTTAAGACTTACTTTTGGGTGTTTTACAAATATATCCACTGAGATCAGGTTGGCATTTTGAAACGAACCACTTCCCATGATCATTGCTCACTGCAGCACACAATCTATTTAATGATGGATCATATTCTGCTTCACTTCCATTTCGGGGCTCTCCAGTATCCCAGTTGACAAAATCTACTGCAGTGCCATCTTGCCATAACCATTCCCCTAATGGTATAAAGAAATGTACTTCTTAATGACTGAAAACATAAAGAGTAGCACATTTATGGACAGAATAGTATTATAAAGCTACAGTGGCTCTTTTTCATATAAAATGGTCTCTCATTGGATAAAATGAAAACAGAATCATAACAAATAAAGCGTTAACAATATAATTGCTATTATTTTATGGAAAATTGTCTTTTCACTTTCTTATACGTAGTTATTTCCCAATATGTATTTTCCATACCTGAAGAATCTTTGAAGAGACTTCAGTAATAAATACTTTTGATGTCTAGGTCCCTTGAGATAAGTTTATTTAACAAATGGAATCTGGTGCAACAGACTAGTATTGTTTCAGTCTAAGGCTGAAAGTTTGCTTTCTTGTGTATAGGCTTCACTGACAATGGAACTTGTGTTTAAATTTGTTATCTAGAAGGCCTGGCAAAGTATTATATCTCACCCCACTAACTAGTTGCCTAAGAGGAGGAAATATGCTTTGATTTAAAAAAATTTTTAAAGATTAAAAATAAACCTGACAGAAAGGAAATGTTAAGGAGTCTGGTGTTCTGTATGTTTGACCAGAGGTAGTCTCAGACCCTTTCTTTCTAGTGATAGACTTTTGAAAATGAACTTACATCCTTCTGCAGGCTGGTTTGACCAAGACTGCAGAGCAGCTAGGAAGGAGTTTGTCCCGTCCAAATGACAGGTGCATAACCATGAAAGTGGATCCTCTTTCACTGCCCATATATCTCTAAGGTTAACCTACAAGAAGTTTTAAAGCAAAATAAGGGGTTTTCTTTGGCCAGACTTCAGTGCCAGGAGCTGGGTCTGGCCATCTTAGAGAGGAGAGAATCCCAGTTCTGGGACCTAGTCTCCACATGCCTGGATAAAGTCTCCACTCTGTTGGAGGCCCAGGTCTCCACCAAATACTGGCACGCACACAGTTCAGTCAGATCTTTGGAACCAATTTTGTTTCTGCTAATGGGGCCACGGAGCAGGCTGATCTATCTACTGATCTATCTACCTTGCCCGAATATCCTCTTTTATCAGTTTCTGAGATCAGAGTTCTGATTGCTTCCCTTCCATCTGGCAAGGTGCCAGGGGAAGATATGATTCCTGCAGAACTATTTAAAGTATTTCTGTGATTGGAGGACTCCAAACTTGGCAAAGCTCAGGGCTATGTCCATCTATGTTCAAAGAGGCATACTAACTAAACATGTTATTGAAAGGCTATTTTCTAGTTAGATGCCAACATTCTTTCATGCTAATTAAACTCTTAATTAAAGTACATTTCCAGACCACTAGACCAAAGCAGTCTTCTGGTTCATTTACTGTCTGTATTTGGAGCAGTCTTTCAAAGATTTTCTCTTCTTTCTTGCCAGATATTTACTATGTGTCTTTTTTTTAGTGTGCTGCAGCTTGTATTGTGACTAGTATTTCTGTGGAAACAGGGGCCACTTCCGCAACTGTCACTTTTGTCATTTGTTTTCCCCTGTTGCTTCCCCCCCTCTTTCCACATGTGTTTTGCTCCCTCTGGGACTACTAGAGAAACCAAAACACATTAAGGGGGGGGGGAACCCTGAAGCGACAGGGACAAACGAGTGACAAAAATGACAGTGCAGACTGTTTATGCAGTGTGATTTTCCTGCCTCCCCCTCCTGTGGGAGTGTGAAATGCCCCCCCCCCCAGTCCTGTTCCTCAGCGGACGTTTCAGGCTCCCATGGGAAGACTGAAGTGGTAAAAATGCTCTCTGCAAACAAAAGTCCTTGCTGCTGTGGAAGCTTTACTCAATATCCAGCCCTGCATGTTGATTAATAAATAGTGAAGTTTAAACTGTTACCATCCACATTTTGTACCAATCCTATCCAAAAGTTTCCTTGATCGAGGTGCTGCATGTACTCTTTCAGAAACTTCATTTCAGCTGAATCTTCTATTGAAGTCAAAGAACCACCTAGAAAACATCAAGTAGAAAAAAATACGGTTTAAATGTTGCCTTTTTATTGAAAATTATTTTTAATGAAAAAGGCAGTTTCACGCAAGCCTGTTCTGTAACCACCAAACTATGGCACTCCTTGGGCATGATTACTTGTGATGGAAAATGCCATCAAGTTACATCTGACTTATGGCGACCCCGTAGGGTTTCCAGGCAAGAAATGTTCAGAGGTGGTTTGCCATTGCCTGCCTCTGCGTAGCAACCCTGGACTTCCTGGCTGGTCTCCCATCCAAAAATTAACCAGGGCCAGTCCTCCTTAGCGTCTGAGATCTGATGAGATCAGGCTATCCTAGGCTAACCAGGTCAAGGTAGGTAGACACTATTCAGAGAGCACCTGCTGCCTTGAGAACCTGTGCAGAGTGGAGGGAGGAGATAACATACTGTTGTGTATGCTGACCGCCACCAGGGGCCCAGCAAACAGCCAGAGCTTGACTCTGGAAGAACAATAGGGACTAGACTCCTAGTCCCTCCACTGGGGAACCAATGGGCACCGTGGCGGGAGATTCAAACCCACCAACGGGGCGCAGGGGAGTGTTCCTGGAGTGTATATAGTCGGCCTGCCAGCCATTAGTGGTTGTCTTTGTTGTGTACTAAATAAAGCGTGCTATGCACTACGTCGTTGTTTGTCATTCGTCCATGTGGCGACCCACTACACAATAATGGCGACGAAGGTGGGATCCAGCTGCAACTGAGCCGGGCCATCATGCGGAACTGAGGGAACGCGAAGCAGCAGTGATCTGATGAGCGATCCAACCAGCGAGGCCGCTTCTCTCCCACCCGCTCCGACGCGCACAATGGCGACCACTCCAGTGCTCGGCCTGCTACCGCCTTTCGACACAGCCCATCCGCAAGACTGGCCAGCCTGGGTCAGAGGCATCAAGTCCACGCTAGATTTCTATGATGTGACAGATGACGGCAAGAAAAGAGGATTCCTCCTGGCCTCCTGTGGCACCGCAGTCGTGTCCCTGGCCGGAAGGTTGTTGGCCCCAACGGACCTAGACGCCTGCACCTTTGACCAAATTGTCAATGCGTTGCAAAATTACTACGCGCCCAAACCAACTGAACTGACCTGCAGGGTAACCTTCTATACCCGCAGCCAGCAGGGCCCAGAATCCGCCGCCGAGTTCCTCGCGGAGCTGAGACATCTCGCCACCGACTGCAACTTCGGGACATACTTGGAAGATGCCCTTTTTGACCACTTAATCATGGGCCTGCACGAGGAGAAGCTCAGACGGTGGATCATGAAGAAGGCTGACCTCAAGGAGGCCCTCGCCATCGAATGGGAGAGGTCGTACACCACCCCGGCCACAGCCCTCCATGTCGAGCCGGAGGATCCCGAGGAGCAGGACGTCCACCGGGCCTACGGAGGCCCCCGGCAGTGCACCCAAGCACCGCACCGCACGCAAGCAACGAATGCAAGCACCGGCCGCCAGCATCCCAGCGTTTCCGCGTGTGCCAGCTGTGGGGATCGGCATGATCAGAAGACCTGCTGATTCCGCAATGCCGCATGTCGCAACTGTGGCCGCACGGGCCACATCGCGAAGGTCTGCTGCTCCAAGGCAACGGGACGGCCCCAACCAGCACATCAAAGAGCCGAGGCCCACTTCAAGGAGGACCCCGGCGCAGAGGACCTCTACTTCCTCACCCAAACATCGGAGAAGGTATTGCAACTCCCCGGCAAATCCCCCTCCCCGAAGTTCATGGCCACAGTACGTATAGAGGGGTCCCCTTGCGTAATGGAGGTGGACTCGGGCTCCGCGGCCTCAATAATCTCCGTGGCCATGCTCAAGCGCCTATGTCCTAAGGGGGGACCCCGATTGCACCCAGCCCAGGTGACGCTGATGGATTTCCAGCAAAACCAGGTGCCAATCAGGGGAGTCGGCAATTTCCGGGTGCAGTTCAAGAACTGGAACCTGGACTTAATAGTGGTCTAAGGCGTCCTAGTCAGTTTACTGGGGCGGGCCTGGTTCGAACCCCTGGGAATTACGCTAGAGGGAGTAAAGTTGTGCACGACCCAGGACTTCAAGGGGATCTGCAACGAGTTTCCCGCAGTTTTTGACAACTCTCTGGGCCGGTATACGGGCCCCCTGGTGTCCTTCCACTTAGACCCCTCGGTGGCCCCCATTAGAATGCGTGCCAGGACGGTTCCATTGTCGGTCAAACCCAAGATCGACATGGAACTAGACTGCCTAGTAGCTCAAGGCATCTGGGAGCCAGTCTCCCACACGGCGTGGGAGACCCACCATAGTCATGGTGAACAAACCGAATGGGGCAATCCGCATCTGCGCAGACTATAAATGTACGTTGAACAAGGCGCTACAGGACCACGCATACCCGGTCCCTGTGGTTAGCCACGTTCTGGCCACCTTGGGGCGGGCAAAGATCTTTGGCAAACTGGATCTCGCCCAAGGTTACCAGCAGTTGCCAGTAGATGAGGCAACAGCAGAGGCGCAAACGATCGTTACCCACCGGGGGGCATTCCGTGTTAAGCGATTGAGCTTCGGAGTGAGCGTGGTGCCCGGGCTGTTCCAGCAACTGATGGACTCTCTCCTTAAAGGGATCCCCGGCGTCACACCCTTCTCCGATGATGTGATGATCGCCGCCGCCACGGCTGCTGACTTCACTGATCGCCACCGTGCTCAGCCATTTCCAGAATGCTGGGCTGAAAGTGAAGCTGGATAAGTGCCACCTGGGAGTGCTGTCAGTGGACTTTTTAGGGTTCATGGTGGACGCGGAGGGCCTCCACCCAACCCGAGAGAAGGTTAAGGCGATCGTGGAGGCGCCACCGCCAAAGTCCAAGGTAGAACTGCAGGCGCTCCTGGGAATCCTGAACTTCTACCATGCCTTTCTTCCCCACAAGGCGGCAGTGGCGGAACCCCTCCATTGTCTGTTAGACAAGCAGGCCCCATGGGTGTGGTGACCCCACCAGGCCGCCGCGTTTCGGAATGTCAAAGAACTTTTAATTTCCAAAGCGGTCCTGGCCCACTTCGACGAGGCCCTGCCGGTGGTTCTAGCGTGCGACGCCTCACCCTACGGCGTGGGGGCTGTGCTGGCTCATCGCTTGCCAGATGGTCGAGAGGTCCCGGTCGTGTATTACTCGCGCACTCTATCTGCGGCAGAGCAGAACTACGCCCAGATAGATCACGAGGGACTTGCTATTGTGGCCGGGGTCAAGAAGTTCCATGACTTCGTCTATGGCCGACCCTTCATGATCGCAACAGACCACCGCCCGCTCCTCGGTTTATTTGCGCCCGATCGCAGAACGCTGCAAGTCATCTCCCCGCGCATCCTGAGATGGGCCATTTTCCTGGCGGGCTACGACTACTGGATCAAGCACCACCCCAGGAAAGCCATGGGCCATGCCGACGCCCTGAGCCGCCTGCCACCGCCGGATGTCGGGGAGGACCCAGCCCCAGTGCACCGGGTCCTCCAGGTGGAGGACCTTCTGGACGTGCCAATTCAGGCCGCAGACATCGCCCGCTGCTTGGCCTGGGACCCCATCCTATCCCAGGTGCTGGGCTGGGTGGTGAGGGCCTGGCCTACAAAGGTGGAGGGGCCAGAATTCGCAGCGTTCATGGCCCGCAGAGAGGAATTGTCGGTGCACAAAGGCTGCCTACTGTGGGGAGACCGGGTTGTGGTTCCCAGTGCCCTGTGACAGAAGGTACTACAGGCCCTGCACGAAGCACACCCAGGTATTGTGCGGATGAAAGGCCTCGCCAGGAGCTATGTCTGGTGGCCGGGAATTGATGCAGAGGTAGCGGCGTGGGTGAAACGTTGCCCCACCTGCCAAGCGGTGAGACCCAGCCCACCGGAGGCACCCTCCCAGTCCTGGGAGTCCACACACACCCCGTGGTCCCGGCTTCACATAGATTTTGTTGGACCATTCCATGGACTGCTGTTTCTGGTGATGGTGGATTCCTACACCAAGTGGCTGGAGGTAAGCCCCGTTTCCTCAACCTCCTCCAAGGCCACCATCCGTGCCCTCCGACAGATCTTCGCCACCCACGGCCTGCCAGACACCATCGTCTTGGACAATGGGACGGCATTCACGTCGGAGGAGTTCCAGCAGTTCCTCAGCGGCAACCTGATTAAGCACATCAGATCAGCGCCCTTCCACCCCGCGACCAACGGCCAAGCAGAACATATGGTGCGGACAACGAAGGAAGCGCTGAGCTGCCTGACGGAAGGGGAGTGGGAGCAGCAAATTGCACAGTTCCTCCTGGCGCAGTGAATCACGCCCAACCCGGTAAGCGGCCGATACCCAGCGAAGCTTCTCCTGGGCCAGAGACCACGAACCCTTTTGGACCGCCTGCACCCGGACTGGGTTCCGGAATCTCGGGACAAAGCCGAGCAGCGGGAAGCACCTTGTGGGTTCTTCCCGGAGGACCCGGTGTTCGCCAAGAACTTCGGCAGGGGGCCAGCATGGCTAGCGGCCCGCATCATCCGTCCCTTGGGCACTGTGATGTACGACATGTCGACCAAGTTTGGGCAAGTGCTGCGGAGGCACATTGATCAGCTCCGGCGGCGATGCTCCCGGAACACATCAGTGTGGAGGGTCCGGAACACCAGCCAGCCCTCAAGAGGGACACGCAGACACCCACCGAGCAGGTCTCAACCCCGGATGAGCAGCCAAGCCTAACGCCAGTGCTTCTGGCGGTCACGGGAGAGGCCCCAGCTGCAGGCGCTGCAGGGCCAGAAGGGCCTCCACAGGTAACACCCCCCAACACAGTGGTCAGTGCCCCAGAGATCCCGGTACCGACCCCCCGACGATCCACGAGAGAGCGACGGTCCCCGTCTTATTTAAATGACTATGTGACCTAGGGTGGTTCCGAACTATGGGGGGAGGGATGTTGCGTATGCTGACCACCACTCTGGAAGAACAATAGGGACTAGGCTCCTAGTCCCTCCACTGGGGAACCAATGGGCACCGTGGCGGGAAATTCAAACCCACCAACGGG